GGGCTTGGATTTGCCCCCCAAACCCATTACCTAGCCCAATAGCCCACCCAAAAAAAATCCGTTAAAACCCGGCCCCAAGAGCCCTGTAAGATCCCATATTAAAAAAATTAAATAAGGATACTATTATCTTAAGATTTCTCCTAATATGAATAAAATAATTTTAGAAACTTAGAATTATTGTTGAAAAATTGATCATGAAATTTGAGTTTCAAACGAATTAACTTTCGGGTCAAACTTAGTTTCGAAGGTGTATAACCTTAACAAGGGTGATTAGGTAAGTTTTTAAATATTTTTACATCATAATAATGCCTCCATTGAATCTGGAAGGTCAAAAAATATTGGAAGAGGTAATATGGGGTGTATTATAAGTTAGAAAGTATTTTGGAGTTAAAAACCTATTTTGGAGAGGATTTGGGTAGAAAAAAATTTGACACTACCTTAGTAATTTAGCCATAGCTTTCTACTCCTAAATTAGATTGATCTGATTTTTGGACAGTAGAAACTATATTTCAAGAGCTACAAAAGTGTATTTCACGAAAATTACCTAAAGTGAGCTCTAAATTGGCCAAACATTCATTGGAAGTTCAACTGAAAATGGGATGACGTTCAAACGTGAAAGTCCATTTGAACGCCAACCGTTCGAACGTGAAAGTCCGTTTGAACATGAAAGTCCATTCGAACGACAATTCGTTCTAGTACTCTTGTCTAATGGAAAAACAAAAATACTGGAAGCACATGACATCCGAACGCTAATGACGTTCAAACATGAGTAGTAAATCAGAACATCAGATTTACGTCGGTTGAACTCTATTCTCACCCTATAAATACATAAGGTTGCCTCCCTTAGCACAATTTCAACATTTCTAACCCTAGAGAGTCTTATAAAGGAAGAAAGAAAGAGAGAAACACAAGATCAAGAGGGATTTTCGCATTGAAGTGGATCAAAATCTCAAGTTGTTCACACAAAACTAAGGAAGAAAGTAGAGGTTTCTTCCTATTCTCTTCCATTGAGGCTAAGATTTATATATATGTATGTTTTGACTCTAAATCCTATTTATATGTTAGAAAATTCTTATTTCTTGATATTCTTGCAAATATTACCATGTTTTAAACAAAACTATGGTCAGATAGCCATAAAATCTCTTTTTCTTGTCTTAAAACCCTAGTTATCAAGGAAAATAAATTTTTCTCTTGATTTTTTCTTTATTCTTGATTTCAAAACTCTAATGCTTGGTATTGAACTATAAAATGGTATTATTGATGATCTCTTTTCTTAAATTGTTCTATTGGAATAATACATGTAAAATTTGAGAATTTTGGATTTTACTTGGGATTGAAGAAATTGGTTGGGTACTGTATCTCTTGTGGATGTTTGTATGAACATGGATGACCGTTAACTGTGTATCATAAAGTGGATAGATGCGTTTTTTACTTCGTGAGGGTTTGAATTTTTTCTATCATTCGTAGTTGGGTTGGTGCCTTGCGAGGACCAAATTACTATTCACTCACGAGTATCGAAACTAAGGGTTAGTATACTATTCTTAGGTTGGATTCGTCACTATTGATGCGTCGGTATATGGTCTTTCTAAAGTTGTATATCCTTACGAGAATTTGAGTGTGTGTATGTAGGATATGATATTGTCGATGTGTTTATTCATGCAATATCTTACATCATACCTAAGATACATTATGTGCTGTTATTTATTATACAAATGGTTGGTTATGGTTTATTGTGGAAAGGAGTTTATTGTGGGCAATTGGTTTACTGTAAAAATGGTTAATATGGAAAGGGTAACTTGTTGGAATTGTTATTTTTAAAAATTGGTTGTACTCTTTTACTTAATTATGGCTATTGCGTAAACTTGAGATCCATTGAAATATCTATGTTTTCTTTCAAAAGCTATATATGATATTTGTAAAATGAGACTGACTGTTTTATATGCTTTTGAATCCTTGTTCGAGTTTGGGAGGATTTTCCTACAGAGCTTAGTGCTCACCCCCTACAAATAATATCTTTTTTAGATTATGATTTAGATGAGGAGCTCAAAGTTGATGAGCTGGTACATTGAGAAGCTCCAAATAGATGGGAATGTGGATCCCAAGGTGGACTTTTAGAGTTATATTCTCTTATGTTCTAGACTAGAAAATTTATTTTGAGACAATGTGAAGTTTAATATTTTTGTTATTCTGCTGCAAGATAATAGTTGATTTTTGGGATGTAATTGTCATAGTTTGGCATATTCTTTTGGATGCAATGGTCATGGCTTGACATATTCTTTTGGATGAAGTTGTAAATATTATGAATGATGAAATGAAATTTCCTTTAATTATGAACTTTGTTAGTTGCTCTCATGATGTAAATAGTTTTAAATAGTAATACCGTCCATGGGGAATTTTGGGTCGTTACAAACCCGCCTACCAAACCCAACCCATCCACACAACCCGCGCACCATTCCTTTGAAAAAAAGTCATACTTTTAAACCATTAAATTTTAAATTTTGAAATAAGTCTCACAATATCGGAATTTGAAGTTTTAAAATTTTAGACACTATAAATAATGTATTATTTTCTTTTTAATGTATTAAGCATACAAGTTTTAAATGGTAGAATAATTCAAATGATAGATAAGTGAGTAGGTGTCAACCTAATTGGGATGTGTTCATTCTATTGGATATAGTTCATCCCTTAATCAAAAATAAAATTATTCATTATTTTATTTTTATCCATTTTGACTCTACTACTTTAATTTAAAAATATTATTTATACAAATATTAAGTTACAAAAATATTCATTATTTTTAAATGAATTTGTATATAAAAAAGCCCACGAGCAGGCTCGCATAGCAAGCTCGCCCAAATGATCTGCTCAATAGGCTTGCAGGTAGCTTACCCCTACCTGAAGCTCAACACGGTCCGATAACTCACTTGGATAAGGACTTGGACCTACACTATCTAGGCCCGGCCCTAAAAAAATTTTGTGGGCCTAACCATGGACACCCCTAGGTGCAAGACCAAAAGTTTTCTCGGGATGGTTTATGTGTGAACCAATGTTTGATTGATTATGTTGTTGGTATCCGGGGCATGTATGGTATTTGCTATGATCATTTAGTTTCAACGTATAAATCTTTGATTTATAACTTATATATTTCAAATGATGATGTGCGGGGAGATTTTTATTAATGCTCTACTTGTACCTATACTTGATCATAAAAAACTTCATTATTTATTCATATGGTTTGTGAAATGTTGGTTTTAAAACTTTATACATGCTTGAAAAAAATATTATCCTACTGGCTTGTGGTTGCTCATTATCCCTGACTAATACTTTCATAGACTAACATGTATCTTGGGGAATAGGTGATGAAACGCTTGTGGAAGCTTGGACTAGGAAGAATTTCTTTCGGAATCCTTTTGTATTTACTTGTAGAACTTATATAGAAATGTTAGCATACAAACATTGTATTTGAAAGGGTTGCCTTGAGATACTTGTGGTGTACACTTGATCATCCCATAGAGAGATTATTATTTGGGCATTGTAATATAAAGTTATGATTTTTGGTATTAAGTTTTGGAGTATAGTTGTATTGGATGTCTACGGGTTTGGGAGGACTTCATGGGACTCTAATTGTCACCCCGACTTTAGTTGGATTCTATTTTGATGGATGTATGTTGTGGATGCTTAGTTAATTTAAATTATGTTATGTTCTAACAGAGATGTTCTTACTAGCTAGTTGGAAGCTCAATTTTCAAATGAAACTCTGTTGAATTTTTTTGAAAAAATATATTTTTATTAAATCAAATATTTCATTTCATTCAATAATTATTATAAATGATAAGAAATTTTGGGATAAATATTACTTTTTATTCAATCACGCTTAAATGAAAATTGGGCGTGACACACTAAGCATCAATTTTTGTCTCCAATGTTGTGCAGCCTATGGCACAATTTTATTGAAACAAGCGTCTGGCTATTGTATCTGACAAGAGTTGGAACATATTGCTTCATATACTTGAGTCGTGTTGGAACTTAAGAAACAGTACTTGTCCTAGGAGTTGTGAGAGAATTTGTTTGTGTTTTTTTTTTTTGTGTCTGGAGGTGTTTATTCCTTAGGAGAGGGTATGTCGTGAGCAACTTGCCTAAGGTCATGCTCATTTTAGCCTTAAGCAGTAATGAAACTTTGTTGTTTATCTTCTTTTTTTTTTCTGAATAAAATTATTTTACATACCGAATAAAAAATAAGTGATTATGAGACTAAAGAGTGCATTCTGAACTCTAAAGGCCAACCAGAGTGTAAGACCCATCCTAGGAATAAACTCTGTGAACCATATAAGTTTTTGCAAAAGCTACAGGTCGGGAAGGGGACAAATCTGTTTCCAGGCTGAAATTAAAAAAGTTTCCCATTAGAGGTCATAAGCCAATTAACAAACTCCCTCAAATCACTCTTCAAGTGCTCTATCTCCTGTTTCTTCTGGAACGGAGGATTTAAAGCTTCATGGATTTAACATGTTTGCTGCATTTAACCTTCTTAGGGGAATGCCCACCACAACATGCAAAAATACAAAAAAAAACATAACAAATTAAAGATAATAGAAAAAATATTGATATCAAGAATATGAAAAATGCTATTTAGACCTAATAATGCACAATTATTGGATTAGTTGTGGACTCGATCTAAAAATTAAAACTCATAACTAATTTAATAGTTACATTGAAATCACATCATTAATTCCCTAAATTAAATTTCTAAATAAAGTTTATATAGCATTGTTTCAAGAATATATGCTTCCATCGAGGAACTTCAAACAAGAGATATGTCAAACTAAAAGAATATTAATTACAATTTACTCACTCCAGTTCATATAATTTTTGCTTGAGGAAAGAACTGTCCACAAGAAAAACAAATGACAAAGAACCGTTTCATGGACCTATTTTTAAGAAGTAATACCTACACTAAAGCAAAATAATACAAATCAAAATAAGAACCTTAATCGTAGATCTGATCATAAGCCAAAAACTCCGGTGCTTTTTGCCATTGCCACCCTCTTCTCCACATCTAAACCACGACAAGAGCCAGACACAGTTGCGAGTTCACCCGGAAGGACCATAACTGTACCACCATACCTTCTTCGAGTCCATTCTTCGACAAAACCTCGTTCCAAATATTCACCAACACATAAATTGAGCTCGTTTTCATTTCCCACTTCCTCAAGTGTATGTAGCAGTCGTCAAGGCATGGCTCAATCAATTTCACTTTCAATTCTGATTCGTTCAAAAGCATCTTCTCCTCCGGAGTGAGAAAATCGTTTTTGATTTGCTTCCGTGGGATTGATAAACGGCCATGGTTTCGGCTCAAATCTGTCTTGTACAATGGCTTCTGAATGATCAACATCTCCTGAGAACCACCCATATTCTGAATCAGATTTTTGAACTGTACAGGCAAGGGTAGTGGTAGAATTTCTGGTATTGCAGTCATGTTTCTCTTGACCTTTTTCTTTGCCCTATTCTCTTCTTGATCTGCATGTTTCCTTTCATGGCGTCGGCGTTTCAAGCAAGCCTTTATGGCTTCTGTGTCAGGTTTCTTGATCATCTTTTCTGTTACCAACCCTTTTGCCAAGTTGGTAACAAGAGAATGTGACACAGGCTTCCCCAAAAACTTCTCTGAAATCAATCTTTCACCCTTGAACGCGTCATCTGGGACTATGAAAGTGATTTTCTTGGACGATTTATTTTTTCTCAACGATCTCTTACCCTGTCTTATAAAAAGGATCAATGGAAGAATTGGATCAGTCAGCGATTCTTCATACACAGATTTACCACCTAGGCTTGTGCGACCGAAAATATTTTGGCACGAGTTTTTTTTAATCAACTCCTTTTCTTTCTCGAACATTTTCACTGCCTCCGCCAACATGTACAATCCTTCGTAAATGGGTTCGTACCCAGCACCTTTAAAATCATCAGCATTCGACATTGTTCTTTTCATCTTGATAATTGAAGAAGAACACTTTTGCTCTTCTTGACAGATGGAAATACAATCACAGATTGAGATGAAAATATAGTTGAGTGAGCGAAGAATTATCACCAAATAATACACAGTTTGATCATGCGCTTCTATAAATGTTAGTTACTTGGGCTCCAAGGATCTTTACTGAAGAGTTTGTGATTATGTGGGTAATGATATCTTTTTGATATTGGAGATGAACTCGTAAAGGGTCACTAACTAATATACCGACAATCATAAACCTTCATTCATATCAGCAAACGTGTGTATGTGATTGATTACTTTGGCTCCTAGGGTTTTGCTTTCCTAATCTAAACAGAGCATTAAACACATGGCGATATTTATTGAAGAAGTTTTTATTATGTGGGTATTGGGTAATGATGTTCTTGATAGTTGATGGCCAATCAGGGGTTGAGAGATTTGTTAAGCGGTTTGTAATTACCGTTCAAATAAGGTTTGGAGAGATTTGCAAGATCCGTGTATAATTGTAGGATAAAGTGAAATTTATATATATATTTTTTTATTTTTGGTAATGAAGAATTATAGGTCTTAACTAAGCTCAGGAGCTACCAGCAAAAGTCAAACCCGTAATGTTCAAATTTACGATTAAACTAGATCTAATACCATACCGCTGGGGTATACGTGTGGATTTTCTGCAAATCTATTCATCATGGTTTCCTAAGTTGGATTGATAGCTCTCACGCACGCTTGTTATTCATGTTGGATTGGTATGTCTAAAGTGAAGACTTACTAATGATTTAATCAGTTTATCTGATGACTCACTACAATTGAATTACCCGTAAATCTCACTATTAGTTGAATTCTCCTATTAATTAAATGATTATAAAAACATCTCCATTGGAGATGCCAAATGTTGTATGCAAATTTAAATTTTAAGGTTTTTATGTGACAATTTGACATATAGCATTTGATATTTTTTTCTTGCACTCCGACCGATATGTCAAAATAATGTATATACCGTCTTTATTTATAAATCTTTTTTCTTATATTAATTTAATAAATATATTTAAAACAAAATTTTGGGATCAATTAAAATAAATATTATATTTTAAAATATTATTAATTTTATATGAAAAGTAGTATATATTTTATTAAAACTAAAATTCCCATCAAACTTAGCTAATATAAATTTAAACGACAATTAAAAGTACAATTCTAAAAATTAAATTCTAACCAAATTATATGTTACTGCATAAAATAAATTATATTAAACACCCAACAACTCCATAAAATATTGTATTAAAAAGATCAAATTTGACATATTTATTGAGATGTGTCAAATTTGTTTTTGCTCAACCAAGAATTGGCATGTCGGTTGGCGAAGCCTTACATGCCAAAAAGAGCCTGGCATTTGGCATACAGGTTGGAGATCCTCTAATGTATCAAGTTAACAAATAAATTAATTGGGTCAATATAATATTTTTTTCCTAATCATCAATTAGTGTCTTGCTTAATATCAAGAAGTATAAATTGGGAAGTGCCCGTGTGATCTGTAACTTAAAGTCACAGGTAAGCTTAACGAATTCAAAAATAAACCAAGTACATATTCAAATTTTGTTGGCTAAAATTTAGTTTTTATGAGTTCTTTGAAATGGGTCAGATTTCAATTTTTAACCAATTCAAAAAAAGAATTTAAAAATAAAATATATCAGACAATCGAATAAGGTTTGGATTAGATATTTAAAGAGTAATGCTAGTGGGACCTAATTTATTGACATAATTTGTTGACCTAATTCATTATGACATTTGGATTGATTATAGATTCCATCAAACATCGGAATTTAGTGTTGATCAAATGATTCATATGAAACTACATCATTAAGTCAACAAATTATATCAACTTTTTAGATTCAAATAACATTCCTCATTTTTAATTTACCACATAATTGTTAAAAAATATTTAGTTCAAAATATTTTATACATAAAATTTTTTTTTTGGAATGCCAGAAATACCCATAAGGTAACAATTATATAGTGCAAAGAATGGATAAGAAAACTGTCATAATTATGGAACAATCCTATTAAATTCGTCAACTGTTATATCCCTCAAAATATGAATTTTTAATTTTTTTTAAAAAAAATTCTGCAGTAAAATCCTTCAATTTTCAACAAAACACACACACACACACAAACATTGAAGTACCATTGAAATTGCCGATAATGTGACATTACAATAATACATTACAGTGTAACACAATCATTAACACTTTAATTACTGACAAAAAAATTATGAAATTATATTCACCGATTCATATACAATCTAAATAGTATGTATGTATATATATATATATATATATATATATATATTATTTTTAATGAATGACAGTGTTACATCACAGTTGCAAAGTGATACTGTTATTAGATTTGAGAACAACCAGAACTGTTTAATATAAAAAAATGAATTTCAAAATTTGAGTCAAGCTAGTAAAATATATTTCATAAGGTAAATTTTTGAATTTCAAATTTCTTTAATTCCTTAAAATATGAAAACCATTAATATTCTATTTTTCGATACGTGTAGTTGATAGATTGAATTTTACCATCCCATATATGTCACATTTGATTTTTTTTTGTTTTTTGTATGTAACAATATCATAATACTATAATACAAATAAAAGTTTATAATTTAATCAATCTCTTTGATAAAAAATATATAATAATATATTTAGAGGTGTAAATATTCAAGAATGACAATCTTACAATAAAATTTCACAATAAACAAAGGAGAAGATATTTAAAGGAACTGGAGGGATGCCTATATAAGACAAATTAGGTACTAAAATAGGGGTGGAGTGGATCAATTATTAGATTTAANTATATATATATATATATATATATATATATTATTTTTAATGAATGACAGTGTTACATCACAGTTGCAAAGTGATACTGTTATTAGATTTGAGAACAACCAGAACTGTTTAATATAAAAAAATGAATTTCAAAATTTGAGTCAAGCTAGTAAAATATATTTCATAAGGTAAATTTTTGAATTTCAAATTTCTTTAATTCCTTAAAATATGAAAACCATTAATATTCTATTTTTCGATACGTGTAGTTGATAGATTGAATTTTACCATCCCATATATGTCACATTTGATTTTTTTTTGTTTTTTGTATGTAACAATATCATAATACTATAATACAAATAAAAGTTTATAATTTAATCAATCTCTTTGATAAAAAATATATAATAATATATTTAGAGGTGTAAATATTCAAGAATGACAATCTTACAATAAAATTTCACAATAAACAAAGGAGAAGATATTTAAAGGAACTGGAGGGATACCTATATAAGACAAATTAGGTACTAAAATAGGGGTGGAGTGGATCAATTATTAGATTTAACACTAATTAAAATAATATTTAATTATTTGACATATAATTCATTATTCAAATAAATTATAGATATTAAATTAAAAAATATTATTTAAACATATTCACGTGCAATACACGTCGTTTATTGTTAGTCAATAGTTAAATAAGTCGTGGATAAATTCGTAATTAAAAAAATTAATATTCAAAAAAAAAATTATCAACATTTTTATTATTCCTAATGAAGTCTCAGCCACCATGATGCTTGAAAAAGGAAGTATGCACCAACAGAGAGACAAATGGCGAATGTAGCCTAGATGTTTGATAGTATAAAATTTCAGTTTATATGTTAACCAAAAATTAAATAAATAAAGCCAGGAAATTCATTCAAAAATATTAACCTGTGCAAAAATTATGAATTGTAGATTTGCACTTTGAAAGCTTAAAAAACATCAATCATTAATGGTATTCCTTGAAAAGAACTTCAGGAAAATTCATCTTTCCTCAAGATTTCATTATGCTATAAAACACAAAATAAAGCATGCACCACAGACAGCAGAAAGACTACCAACAGCTAACGGTCGGAGGGGAGGGTCCAACCAAAAACAGAACAATGCTCTGAAAATTTTTGGGAACAAAACAGAGAATAACTACATGGTGGAAAAGTCTGCCTTAAAAAGTGTTGTATCATGTTTCCAGCCCTGGGCATGATCTTGTTAGGAATTCGCAATTTATGAATTCAGCACATAGGATCAAGGTTGTGACATTGCTCATCGGCTCAGGAGATAGTGAGACGCATCAGTCGCATTGTCGGAGAATGTAAACCGATGATACACATGAAATGTTAGATAGAAGAAATTGGAGATGGCAAAAGATTTGGGCGATGTAGTTGTGTAGTAATATAATATTTGAGAATGCACATTGATTCGATGATGACGATGATGTAGTCGACTAAGGACTCACCCGAAACATCCCCGAATTGGCCATGAAACGGATGAGACCCATGATTACAAAGAACATGTATTGTTCTCGAAAAGAAAGGTACCAAGTACGATACAAAGCCAAAGTCAAATTCTTTTAACGCTGACAAACCATCTTTCAATACTTCAAAATGAGCAAAATGAGTTGAAATAACTGAAATAATATGGGCAGGCCAACTAAAAACAAACTGTACTCTCATTACACCAGGAAAAAATACATGAATCACATTATCATTCTGAGCACAAGGTGCAAACACGTTTCATACACAAGATACAAGTATCATCACCGATGCCCAGCACAACAAAATAAAAAACTAAATAAGTGACAAATACAAGGCAATAGAAAAGATATGCTTTCATTGATATATATTTGATGAAAAGAAATTCAGAAGAGAGTAATTACAATTTATTGACTCCAGTATATAATTTCCTTTTTCACCGGATAGTGGAAAATTCCCTCTATAATATAAAGACAAAATTAGAGGACAGAGAACTCCTTTCCTGGGCATATTAAGAAACTCTAAATTCTAGGTCTGAAAAAAAAAAAATCTAAATTCTAGGTCTGATCATAAGCAAAAGATCGATGTATATGACACCCTCTTCTCCAGAGATCTAAATTACAACAAGAGCCAGACACAGTTCAGAGTCCACCCGGAAGGACCATAGCTGCACCATCATACCTTCTTCGAGCCCATTCTTCTTCTTCGATAAAACCTCGTTCCAACTATTCACCAATACGTAAATTGCCCTGGTATTCATGTCCCACTTCCTCAAGTGTATGTAGGAGTGCTCAAGGCATGGCTCAATCAACTTCACTTTCAGTTCTGATTCGTTCAAAAGCTCTCTCTCGACTGCTGTGAGAAAATCAGTTTTGATTTGGCTTTGTGGGATCGATAAACGACCGTGGCTTCGACTCAAATCTGTCTTGTACAATGGCTTTTGAATGATCAACATCTCCTGAGAACCACCCATATTCTGAATGAGAATCCTGAACTCTATAGGCAACTCTGGCGATAAGTTTGGTAGAATTTCTGGCATTGCATTCATGTTCCTCTTTACCTTCTTCTTTACCCTTGCCTCTTCTGGCTCTGTCTCTTTGCTCTCATGGCGTCGGCGTTTCGGGCAAGTCTTTGTGGCTTCTTTATCTGGTTTATTGATAATCTTTTGTGTCATGAACCCTTCTTCCATGTTGATATCAACAGAATCAGTCACAGACTCCATGAAAGACTTCTCATAAATCAATCTTTCACCCTTTTGTGTATCAACTGGGCCTCTGAAAGTGATTTTGTTGAAAGACTTCTTCGTTCTCAACGATCTTTTACCCTTTCTTGCGACAAGATTCAGAGGGAGTATTGGCTCTGTCAGCGATTCTCCATAGACAGAGTCATCATCAGGGCTTGAAAGCCCAAAAAGGTTCTCGAATGAGTACTCTTTGCAACGCACACCCAGTGGGCGCAAGAAAAAACCAAGATTGGTCCTGCAATTTCTTTCTTTGATCAACTCTTCTTCTCTGCGGATTTCTTCAAACGCCATTGTTGCTGCCTCCACCAAGTAGTTGAATGGAGCCCAGTTGGGAACCTCCCCAACACCCTCAAAATCATCAACATCCGACATTGTTCTTTTCTTTTGAGAGCTTGAAGAAGAACACTTTAAATCTTCTTGGCAGATGGAAAATAGAAAGATGGAAACAAACCCGTAGAATGGTCAATGAAATGATACACTGCCTGCTTTTATATATAGCAGAGTGCGAGAGTGTGAGATGTGAGAGTGTGAGTGTGTGAAATTAATTCCGTGAGCTTCAAGGGTTTCATTTTCCTTTCCTAAACTAAACACAGGCGAGAGAGAGACGGTTATTTATTTGAGAGAGACAAAAGCAAGATATATTCTTTGATTGAAGGAATAAAATTTATTTGAGCAATGCTATAAGGATCTTATTTACGGATTTTATTTAAGGTTCTCAAATTATGTTCAAATAGTATTTTCTAATTTTTTTTGCTAAAAATCTGGATTTTTGACCTTTCAACAATACTCTTGATGGAGAGTTTACAATGACAATTCAGTCTAGAATAATTAGAGAGTCATGGGTAAGAATATATTCAATAGAGTGCATTTAGAACTGTCATATCATCTATGGTCACAGAGTGCATTTAGAACTATCAGTGCATTTAAAACTGTCATATCATCTATGGTCACAGAGTGCATTTAGAACTATCAGTGCATTTAAAACTGTCATATCATCTATGGTCACAGAGTGCATTTAGAACTATCAGTGCATTTAAAACTGTCATATCATCTATGGTCACAGAGTGCATTTAGAACTATCAGTGCATTTAAAACTGTCATATCATCTATGGTCACAGAGTGCATTTAGAACTATCAGTGCATTTAAAACTGTCATATCATCTATGGTCACAGAGTGCATTTAGAACTATCAGTGCATTTAAAACTGTCATATCATCTATGGTCACAGAGTGCATTTAGAACTATCAGTGCATTTAAAACTGTCATATCATCTATGGTCACAGAGTGCATTTAGAACTATCAGTGCATTTAAAACTGTCATATCATCTATGGTCACAGAGTGCATTTAGAACTATCAGTGCATTTAAAACTGTCATATCATCTATGGTCACAGAGTGCATTTAGAACTATCAGTACATTTAAAACTGTCATATCATCTATGGTCACAGAGTGCATTTAGAACTATCAGTGCATTTAAAACTGTCATATCATCTATGGTCACAGAGTGCATTTAGAACTATCAGTGCATTTAAAACTGTCATATCATCTATGGTCACAGAGTGCATTTAGAACTATCAGTGCATTTAAAACTGTCATATCATCTATGGTCACAGAGTGCATTTAGAACTATCAGTCCATTTAAAACTGTCATATCATCTATGGTCACAGAGTGCATTTAGAACTGTCCTGGAGACTTAGTTGATATGGGTTTTACCACAAAGAATGTTGACTATAATTACGGCCTTTTTATGTTTGTGATAAGAAAATAAAGACAATGTAATTTAGATATTGTTTGGTTACGTTTTTGTTTTTGTATTTTTAAAAAAAATGTAAAATAGAGACAATTTTTATTTTGTTTGTGATAAAAACTAAAAATAGAAAACATATTTGAAAATTAATTATATTTACCAAATTATGAAAATAAAAACGAAAGATATGTTTGATAACCCTTCAACACATCACATAACACACAAATCCAAATCAACACCATTCTCATGCTTTTCAACGGAAAATTTGCCCTTAAATTCTTTGAAAACCCGAACATTATCCAAAATTATCACATCATTATCCAAATTAGGCTTATCATGAACACTATGTAGGCATGACTTATTCAGTTGTGTGCTTAAATTTACTTCTTTTATACAATCCTCTAACATCTTAACCCCAAATTGTCCATTTTCTTGAGGCTTCAATATCACATCCTTAACAATTTCGTTGCTTTCCTCCAAACCCACAACACATTTCCTTGAATCTTTCAATGCCTCTATAACTATAACACTCTTTTCACATTTTTGATTCACTTTCGCGTTCAAACACGCAAAATCTCCCCTCTTTTCCACAATTTTCCCCAAAGCATAAACCCTTGAACTCCCATTTTCTCTACGGTTTGACTCCACTTCGTTACAAATCTCATTGTTTCTCTTTGAACCATTCAAAACCCTAATCCCAGTCTTACATTTGTCATTTTCATTCACAGTCAAATGCTTCAAATTCCCCTTTTTTGTACACATCTTTTATAGAAACACCACTAAAAAACGCACCCTTTTACAGAAATAGGGGCAAACACACGCGCGTGAGCGCACATACACATCTATTTATATATGCATTTTATATATACATAGACGAGAGAGATATGCGATCGCCAAGAGAAGCATATGAGAAGAGACGAAGGAGGTCTTCGGTCTTTGTTGAATGGACATAAGCGATGGAGAGAGGAGAGACAGAGAGGCGATGAAGAGAGGAGAGTGAATGAAATGAGTTTCTTATCTTATTTAAAATAGAAATACAAACTCAAACGCATTTTTATTTTTATTTTTTTTGCAAAAAGTGAGATAAAAACAAAAAATGCAAAACAAAAAACTCGAAACAACATCAACCAAACGCACCCTTAGTCTTTAGGAATAATTTTTCATACATGTATTCAATATTTTTAACATACATATAGATTACAAAATACATCTTGATCACTCACTTTCCTAGAACATTAACCACATAACAAGATGCAAGACTCAACCACTTGTATTCCAAGTCAACTAGACACATTTAATAACTAAGTATTATCTAATATGCTTATTTTTAATACTCCTCCTTAATGCTTTGTTGTTGTATTCCCAACATGTCTCTTAGAAAATCGAACTTATCTTTAGGAAGTGTTTTAGTAAAAATATATGCCACTTAATATTCGGTCTTGCTATATGTGACTTGATTCTCTTCATCTTCCACGGCTTCTCCAATAAAGTGATACTACTTATAATGTGCTTAGTTTGGCTATGATAGACAGAATTCTTTGTCATGCTTATAGCTAATTTATTATTGCATAAAATAGGAGTTGCTTCACCTTACTTTTCACCAATATCTTCCATGATTTTTCTTAACCAAATTTCTTTAGAAATAGTCAATTATGTTAAAACATATTCAGCTTTAGCTGATGAATGTGCCACACTTTGTTACTTCATTGACACCCATGAAATTACACTGGAACCAAGTGAGAATGCGTAGCCCAAAGTACTCCTCATATCGTCATTGTTTCCGACCCAATCATTATCACAAAATCCAAGTTACTTGACATCGATTTTTCTTCCAAACATAATCTCAAAGTCAAGTGTTTATTGAATATGTCTTAACACTCTCTTTAATACCTAAAAATGAATTTGGATTGTGCATAAACCGAGATAATAAACTTGTAGTATACATAATGTCCGACCTTGTAACTGTCAAGTTTGAATATATCTTAACACTCACTTTGCTGTCTCAAAAAGAATTTGGCTTAGTTTGTCTATAAACCGAGAGAATAAACTTGTAGCATACATGATGTCCAGCCTTGTAACTATCAATTATAAAAGATTTTCAACCTAAGCTTCTATAAAAAAAAATGTTTCAACTTCTTTAGTTTAAGCATCTTTTAACAACTTTTCATTCACAACCAAAAGTATAGCCACCAATTTGCAATTTCTCATTCTAAATTTTTCAAGATAGTTTTTGCATACTTTCTTTGGCAAATAAAGACTTCATCTTCTTATTGATAAATTTAAATTCCCAAGAAGTAATGTAGAAGTCACAAATCACTCATTTCATATCTTTTCATCATCTCATTTTTAAAATCTTCAATCATTCTTTGATCATTCTAGGTAAAAACCAAGTCATTAACATAAAGTGACACAATGAGAATACCAATATTATCTTGCGATTTGATGTACAAAGTTGGCTCACTTTTACTTCTTTGAAATTCCTTTGTATTGAAGTAGGAATCAATCTCACTATACCATGCTCGAGGTGCTTGTTTTAGCCTGTACAAAATCTTTTTTACTTTGTACACTTTTTTTTTCACTATTGACCGCAAAGTCTTGAGGTTGCTCTACATAAACTTTTTTGTTCAACACACTATTCAATAATGCTAATTTTACATCTAATTGATGAAGAAACCAACCCCTTTGTGAAGTAAGAGCAATAAGAAGCCTTATTGTATCAAATCAAGCAACCTAAGCAAAAGTCGCTTGGTAATCGATATCGAGTTATTGTGAATACCCTTTTGCTATAAGACTTGCTTTAATTTTTTTTGAATTGAACCATCCAGATTAAGTTTTGTTTTGTAAATCCACTTCATCCCAATGACCTTTTTATTCTTTGGTTTTTCCACCAACTCCCAAGTATTATTTTTCTCAAACACACAAATTTCATCTTTCATTGCTTTTTTCCAAGCATCTTCTTTGCTTGCTTCTTCAAAACTTTCGGTTCAACCACACAAAAATTGTATCTAGCATATACATCACTAAGACTTCTTATTTTCCTTACAATTGAACTTGGAGATAAAGTGTTTGAACTTGTGGAAGTAGAAGGAGATGAAGAAGAGTAGGGTGTTGGAGACATTTGTGGTGGAACTTCAACTTCTTCATTTTCATTTTCATGCCCAAAGCTCCCATAATATTCATTTGTTAAAACCACTTGATTTTAAACATTCTTTCCTTTACAATTAAGAGTCATTCTCATTAAAGAGAATATCTCTACAAATAACCACTTTGTTTCTCTTCAAACTAAAGAATTTATAACCCTTTGATTTAGAGCTATAACCTATAAAAATATATTTTTTACTATGTTCATCAAACTTATATCTCACTTTTTTAGGAACATGTGCAAAACAAATACACCCAAAAACCTTTAAGTGATTCATCGATGGTTTCCTTCCACACCATTCTTCAATCGGAGTTTGATTCTCCAAAGCCTTTTGTTGGACATCTATTCATCAAATAAACCGTCGTGTATACCACTTTGGTTGAAAATGATTTAGGTAAACCCTTCTCATAAACCATCAATTTTATCATCTCAAAAATGATTTTATTCTTTCTTTCGGCCACTCCATTTTATTTTGGAGTATACCCAACCATCAATTGTCTTTTCATACCAATATTTTCACAAAACTTATTAAATTCATTAAACTTATACTTACCACCTCTATCACTTCTTAACAACTTAATGGATATATTACACTTTGTCTTTCAACAAACTTTTGAAACTTTTTGAATACTTGAAAAACTTTGAATTTTTGTCTTGTAAAATAAACCCAAGTCATTCTTGAAAAAACATCAATAAAGATTATGAAGTATTTGTTACCTCCATGCGAAAGTATTTTTTATGGTCTCCATACATCAATGTGAACAAGCTCCAACAATAATTTGGCTCTCCAAAGTTTTTCTTTTGAAAAAGGATATTGATGATGCTTTCCAAGTGTACTTCCTTCACATATTTCTTTAACTTCTTGTATAGATGGCAATCCATAAACCATATTCTTTTGTTGTATGATTTTCAAGATTTAAAAGTTCAAGTGCCCAAATCTTCTATGTCAAAGTCAAGATTCATCAACAACTTCCATATTCAAAGAAACATTGTGTGCATACTAAAAAATGAGAGGAAAAATTATGTTTTTCTCCATCTCAATTTTCGCTATAAATTATTTTTTCTCTCCACAATCATATATCATGCAAGAGTTGTCTTCAAACACCACGGAGTACCCAATGCTCTACAATTTGACCAACACTCAAAAAATTTTGTTCCAAGTCGGGTACTAACAAGACATATTGGATGTATCTTGTTTCTTTCTTCGTTCCAATGGTAATGGCTCCTTGCAGTTTATTTGAACTATGACACCATTTCTCATTCTTACTTGAGAATTAGAAGTGGCGTCAATGTTCACAAAAATATTACCATCACCGATTATGCAGTTACTACAACCACTATCAAGATACCACACATCATTTTTTTGTTCAGACATTGCTTGACAAGTGTAGAACATGTTTTCACAACTTTCTCGCTCTTTGAAAAAATTAGCTTCTTGATTTTTTTTGAACTGTCAATTTTTTTGCAAATAACCAAACTTTTTACGATTAAAACATTGAGACTTTCCACAAAACCAACAATCTTTATCAACATGACTTAATCTTTTGTAAATTCCATATTTTTGTTAAGTGGATTTTTCATTTGATCTTCTTCCAAAATTTCCTCTTACTCTTCCTCTTGAATTTCTTTCTCATCTTCTTGCTCTTCCAAATCTACCTCCTTTAAAAGATTACCTATAGATTGATTGGAACTCGACATTTCATGACTTTTGAAGAAATATCTTTCATCACCAACGTAATCCTTATGCATACAGTCACAACAACAACTCACATCTTTTAAAAGGTCACATCACGCCTAGAGAATATAGCTTCTAACAACCAAGTATTTTGGCACATGGAATGTAACAGCCTTAAGGGAATCACGTTAATTATGCAAAGACCGCGCTGGTTACAAGAGGATCGCAAAGATCACACAATGCAACAACATACTTTAATTAAGGATCAAATCCCTCGCATTATAATCAAGCAAACATTTTGTGTTTTTATTCTGTGTAATTATGTAATCTCTTTTCCCCATTTAATAGAAAACTCTTCTAGGAGTAAGAGACTCCATTAGGGTAGACTAGTCAAGCTTCCGAACTGGTGAACTGCTATAAATTATTTGTCTACTGATCTTCATTCATTTTATCTCCCTCAATTGATAGTTCAACCCCCAAGAGCCTAGAAACTCTGATTGGGTATTCCAGTAATCTCCTTTAACATCCACAACAAGATCCCCAAGTCATTCACCTCTGCTCAATTGTGAAGAACATACCATTAAAAACAATTTAATATTTAAATAATAATCCTAACAATTCTATTTTTATATATAATAGAATAGACATGTTCACGAACCAAAAAGAGCCAAACAACATATTGTCTGAGGTCGGCAAATCAAACTGTTTACGAACATCTCAATTCATTTACAGCCCTATCAAAGAGGCACCCTTGCACTGTCAACCACAGATTGTGTTGTTCGGTAATTGGTAGAAATTGACAAGGCTTCTTTGCGTTCAATCAGAGTGTTATGACATAAGCTAGTCGTCTTCACCGAAAACATCACCCATAATCTCAATTCAGACAGCACAATCGTGATTCTTGCATTTCATTTTTTTAATTTCGCATATTGTGTGGAGCAATGGTATGCTGCGATTGTTCTCATTTGGAGGAATGGCTATCTTCTGGAACTTTCTGTTAGGCATTACTTCAATAGTCTCTCTTTCTTGCGTAAATATTAAGTGTTACCATCCAATAAGATAATAACAAAAAAGATAAAATAGGGTTCTTTTCCTATCATGGAAGTGGTTATGTATTGTATGGCTGGTTAGTTATGAGTTTTAGTAAGGCTCATTTGTTAACTTGTTTACCTATTAATAGATGGCTATACCACGTGACGATACTGACGTGGTGTAACAGTTACACCCAACATTTTTTTCCTCTTTTTGGTAGCTGAAAATTATACATTTATTATTTTCTTCCTATGGTACTTGCTCGAATGGGTTTCATTTACATCCAAATAATGGTGCTGCTCCAAATTTGTGTACATTGTTCGTGTATAATAGCTATATTTATTGCCTTTCAAATTACAATGAGTAATCATCAAAAAAGGTGTCTGAAAGCATTATATGGGATTGGGTATATTTGTGGACAGTTGAATTGAGTCTCGTTTTTGAAAGTGGCATAGACATGCGCACAAGATGTTTGTTACATTGTTTTGGTGAAAAGAACTCAAAATGTTTACTCTAAGCGAAATTAATGAATTTAAGTTTGAAAAAGTTTTTCTTGATTTTGTAGGCACACTGGCAGTCGCTGCAATTAAGAGCAACCAAATAAAAAATTTAATGAAGAAGAGGGGGAAAAAAAAATCTGATTTTGGACTTTGGGGTAGTTTCTATTGAGTGATTTATTTCATCATTTGTGTTCTATTGAGTAGTTTATTTGATCATTTGCTTTCTTCAAATTTTCCCTTGTCCTCGCTAAAGTAGAATGAATAGTTCCCCAATGGATTTGGTGGCCTTTTTTTTTGGGTGGGGGAATGCAGTTTGGCTGTGTTGAAATTGAAAAGCAAATCTCCAGGCATATTTCCTCAATCTTCCAAGATTGCATCGACAGTTCCCATTTGAAACTGGATCTCCATTTAGGGAGAAAATATTCATTACAACGGTGATATCGTGTGGTAAAGTGATGTGATATCACCAACTAATAGTACTACAACAAATAAGCACATGAAACCCACAAAAATCAATAACTAACCTGTCATATAAATAAATAACTTTTCATCCTCCTGTCATGTAAGCCCAAGTGGGGTTCACCTTTCCTATTTAGAATTTTATTATTGGTAAGTGATACTATATCATCAATGGTGGCATGATATCACCGTTGTATTCAATATTTACTCCCATTTAGGAAGCGGAAATTTCAAAGCATTCACCTATGTTCCAAAAATTCCAGGAAAAAAAATGGTATAAGAACAGTTACTAGTTATATGAAAGAACAATGTTACAAAATCTAAATGAAACCCAAAAAATTATAATCCAAATACATATCATCCATTGAATGAATGAATTACATTAATTTTTTTAGTAAAATCCACTTACCCCACACTCATTCAAAAGATAACATGCATTTGAGTTTTAAATTTTAAATTTCATTTAAATTATGTAACATTTTCCTATATAAAATACTTTGGCTCATCTCCTTAAAAGGTGCAAGACTCCTGATTTTTAAGGAAACTCGATGCCAACCAAACGGCTTGGATATTTCTTTCCAAAGATTTGTGTGGATTTTATGGGTAGATTATTGAATCTGATCGACATTTTTGTGATATATAATACATTTAGACATGAATAATAACTAGTCATTCAATAACTAGAACATTCCATACATAAAACACAAACACTCAAAATGAGATAGAATTACGATAGCATAGTTAAGATTGATCTATCTTATCTCGAGATGCAAGAGCTCTTCAAACAAATTCAACATCTTTCCATCCCATGACGGTTCAGATCTTTAGCCAGAAATCAGTCGAAGCTAAATCCACCAAAAATGCTTAAAATCTATTGTTCTCTTTGGAGTGTGGAGACTGAATCAGCATGCGTTAGCAGATGTAGAAAAATGTTTGCAAATAAAAAAAAAAAAAATTGTGTGCTGGGTTGGTGAGGAAATTGCGGAAAGAGAAAGAAGTCCTGGTGGGGCGTTTGATAATGGGTACGAAAGTCTGAAGGAGTCTCTTTCAAGGAGGCGTGATCTGGGAGACTAAGAAAAGAGACGCTGGGTTAGAGTATGAGAGAGAAGAGAGAGGGAGTGAGAGAGAGAGAAGTTTGGGGAGTGAAGGATGTGTGCAACAGCCTTAATCTATGTTCAAGTACTGAATGTTCTGGGTTGCGTTCGGGGTGGCTTGCCCAAGTTGCATCCCTAATCCGAACTGACCCCTTGCTTTATATTTTGTGTAACTGAAACATATGCAACCAAGAAAAAGAGTCTACGGAAGGTAACTTCTACAATGGCAGACTATTACAACATGCATGCACCTTTATAGTCCAAACCATCCCCCACAGCACAGTCAAGAACTCGAAAATTTTGAAAATCCTCAACTTGAAATTGATTGTAGGATTAGCATCACATGGAAGGTTCTCGCAATGCCGTGGGCAGGTTTAGCTCAGGCTCAAGTTCAGAAAGTGGAGCAAAATAACAGTCAACCATGTCCTTGGTTACTTCACTTAAGCTCGGTGGATCCCACTGCAAATCACAATTTGGGAGTCCATTAACAAAATTTTCTAACAAACATAAAGTTTCAATTTGAAAGACAGCGAACATCAAATTAAGCAGCACCTTCGGAGCAAAGTCTTTGTCAACTAATCTTGCACGAACACCCTATAAAGGACACAATAGCAGATATAATGTAGGAAATGATTTACGAATAATGTACTATAAGAAGAATTTCTGCAGTTATACCTCACAGAAGTCATTAGAAACCATTTTGGAGATCCAATTAAGGGACATCCGATATTCACGAGCAAGACACTGATCCAGGGGCTGAAACCTACCTTCTCGAATCTAAATTTGGCATATAAAAGTCATAATACTGGTCATACAAGCAAAATCCAAATAGATCTTACTGGGCATGTGAAGGATTAGCAACTCACAGATTGCAAAGTGACCTTCAAGCTCAATGGGGAGGCTTCTTTTAGTTTCTTGAGGGCTTTAGAACACCAATCATCGTAAGATTCCGCAACCTCTTTTTCCTGATCGAGTCAGAGACAGAGTTCAAGCATCTAGGTCAATCGGTAACAGAATTTACCTAAATCAAGCTTCCACAAGATTTGGAGACGATGTGAAGTTCAGAGATATAATAATATTAGCAATTTGTGTTCCGAGGACCCTTTCTATGTGGATTGCAATAGAAGTCTTGGAGCACCGGGGTGCGGATCTTGACCCAAGGAAAGGGCAGAGATTTATGTTTAAAAACAAAGAACTTGAATAACAAATTAAAACCATTGAAGTTGAAAAACGAAGAATCTAAAATAAAAATGAAAAGCATCATCTACGTCCTTCCATTGCTAAGGAAGAACTTCCAATCAAGCAACCAACAAAGAGTAACACTAAAACAAGAGATTTGGCACAAATTAGCTTTTTGCAAGTGCATTGCACACCCTGGAAACACTGCACGTTCTGAAGGTCATACGAGAAAGAAATTGGGTCGACAAATCATTGCCACAGGTACAAAGTAAGCAGCCGATAGGCCTTGGGAGTGAAAGGCTGAAAGCTGTCCCCTCTTCCTCTTTTTGTTGCCAGTTAATCCCCAGATAAGCTCCTTGGCTTAGTACAAAACTGTATCATCCATGATTATGCCACATGGTACAAAAAATGGACCATATACTGCCCGTCATTGGTCCTTTACAAGGGGAATCATCATGGCACAGGACGATTTGATTTGGTGTAATAGGATGACCCTTAAAATTTTTGGTTTTTATTCTCTACAAGAACTAGTTCCAGGAGAAAATTAGGGTGAATGATACTTTGCAGTGTTTGCACTGTAAAAGATTCTCAAATTCTCACTTTACACCCAGAAATGTTAAAATTCTCACATTGCACCCTCAATCAGACAAAAAGGTAGCAATGCAGTCCAAAACCAAATGTTCATTACCTTTTTCGACAAATGTTTTTATTATATTTGTCAAATTATCCTATTCCTATACACAATTATTTGCATAATACTCAATTTTAAGTATTTTCAACGAAAATTTGTATTCAATTTTCTCAAAATGGATTGTTTGATTGAGGGTCCAATATAGAAATTTCAATCTTTGTGAATTTCTTGAGAAAACAATAATCTTATAACCTATAATCATACAAAGATCTATAGTCATGAAAAATGATTTCATTTAACAGCATAGGTTTTTTAAATTTTAACTGCAACTCCAAAAACCAAAAGAAAAAAAGAATGTAGGACAAGAAATAAACAGAACAATCTTAGGTTTTGCCCAATTAAACTCTTGGAATTGATTCGCATTTTGGTAACAACATTCTGTTGAATCAGCTATGATTTTACTTCAGAACAATAAGCCCCGCCATAGACTCCACAAAACAGTAGGTAAGCACAACGTTGAAAACCTTTTATATACGACACTAACCAAACAACCATAAATCTTACTACCAAAGAGGCTTCTTGATGAGATTGTAGCTCAAAACCCATGTTTTGGGCTTCAGAATCCTATCACATATATTCAGACAGTCAATAAGCACCACAGCAGTTGTTACATATAATTTTTCCACTGATTGTTTTCTTGACATTTTGACAGGCTCAGCAGCTTGCAACAAATGTTGACCTAGGCTCAACTTGCATTAGCTAGGGTCAGCAGCTTGCAACAAATTGTTTACACACCAGTAAATTATTCCATTTTAGGACTACAAAAGAGGAGCAACCTAGTCAATCAGATGTCGGGAAAAGAAAAAAAGAAGTTTCATTTGAAAATTTCAGCCAATTATATGAATCAAGTGCATGGTTCCTAATCAAGTGCAGGTCAGAGAGGGGCAATCCATACTCCCCCGCCTTGCTTACGTTTCTTCTCCAGTTGGCTATTCCTTGTTTGTAATTTTAACAACCACCACAAGGAAGAATGAAATAAAGAACAATAAATGAGCAAGTTGTATCATTTACCAGAGCATCCGTAATTTCCTCAACTGTGTCATGGCAAAAACATTTATCAATTGTTTGAATCCTGGATCACAAAGAATGAACAGAAACAAAATGAGCCAGAAATAGATCCTCTTTTAATTAAGAAAAAGGTGAGCTATCAAAATGTATAAATTCGTTAAAAAAACAATACTACGAAGTTAGAAGTCATTACAGAAATGGAAATAAATAAAAGGCTAGAAACAATTGTCTGTGGATGCTGTAGATACCATCAATGAATCATTGACATGTTCAATAAACAAGTGCCCATGGAACATTCACCAGACAAAATGCTTCGTTGACTAGAAGATCAATGGAGTTCTTATCCCAATCTGACATTCATTCTCATGCATTTGCTGAGTAATGAAAGGCGTTCTGGTACAAAAATAGGCAGCCCTGAACTCTGGATGGAAGAATGGTCACGAGTTATATCAGAGGAGGTCCCACAATATTTCGATACCATTAGACTCGGTGGAACTTGATTTGGCTGACTTAGATAAAACCAAAAAAAGAGGTTCTAACAGTTAAGGGTTCATGTGAACTGTACGTCTAACTGCCAGCATTTCCATATATTGTACAGAGAGGTGGTAAACATGTGCAATGATGTATTACTCTGGTGAAGCTGACAGATTGATGTCTGGAGGTTTCATGACCACCAAATAGCACATAGGTCACTTGTTGCCAGTGACATAACCAACCAATCCAAACCCAAAAGCGTTACTGCCACTACATGTTCTCCTCCAGATAAATGGCTTCCATGTGAAGACATATACAACGAGGTTGGGCTGAATTTTGAGGTTAGTTCAGGATCAGCTTAAACTATTTACCAAGTCTAACCTATTTACCATGGACCCAAACTCAGCTCAACCCTAGCCATCTATTCTTTTGTGAGCTTAGGCTAACCACAGATAAGCCCACTTGGTCCAAGCTCATTTTGAGATTGCTAATATCTAAAAATCAACTATATCTTTCTTGAATAGAACAGGTTTTGCCTACTTTCCACTCATATTTAATTCTTGAAACTCATTTAAAACCATAGATACATGGAAAGTTCAATGAATTGGGAAATGAAGGAAAAGAAGATAAAATAGGTTCTTACAATGTCCCTGGAAACTGATGGAAAATGGCAATTTCATCTTATTTCAATTTTTTACTTAAATTCTTGATAAATAACTTAATANAAGAAGATAAAATAGGTTCTTACAATGTCCCTGGAAACTGATGGAAAATGGCAATTACATCTTATTTCAATTTTTTACTTAAATTCTTGATAAATAACTTAATAAGTTAGGGCATTTGCAGGGACCAGACCTTTGTTCCAATATGATCATATATCCCATCACTGACCATCTCCATTGGCATGGGCCACCCAACCTGAAACTAACATCCACCATTTCTATTTGATTTGCTCAATTTGTAAATCTTTTTGACCCCTCTAACATGTTAAAATCACTGTAGCCAACACGATATGATTTTATAAAANATATATCCCATCACTGACCATCTCCATTGGCATGGGCCACCCAACCTGAAACTAACATCCACCATTTCTATTTGATTTGCTCAATTTGTAAATATTGTTGACCCCTCTAACATGTTAAAATCACTGTAGCCAACACGATATGATTTTATAATATTGACCGATTTTCTCAAAAATAAAACTCAGACTGATGTGTAATCTGACTATTCTCTATGTTCTCATTAACCCTACATCATAAGGTTTTAAGTCTTGCTGACCCCTTTAACATGTTAAGATCTTTGTTGCCAAATGCTACCAGCTATCCAACACCATAAAGTTCTTTATATTGAATTCAACCTATTTCTCATAAATCAGAACTTTAATTGAAGGGATGCCCCGAACCCGAACTCCAGAGTTCGGTGCGTGAACTACTTCCAATCAATACAGAGCCCTAAATATCCTCGATANCCTATTTCTCATAAATCAGAACTTTAATTGAAGGGATGCCCCGAACCCGAACTCCAAAGTTCGGTGCGTGAACTACTTCCAATCAATACAGAGCCCTAAATATCCTCGATAATTGATAAATCCCTCAATTTTAAAATTATAATTGACATCAAATATTACATACTTCCTCCATAAAAATTATAATCTCTAATTCCTCACTATCCGAGCTTCTATTGATTTCCATCACGAATTAAACCCGCATTTGAGAGGGATAAATGAGGATGAGCTTGGGAGGCCATCCCCATTTACAGAATAGAGAGGATCAAACAATAGTCTAACAACCAACAATCAAACACGAAAGCACAAAATACGAAAGAATATTATTTTACACATAATATGAAACTCCACACTTCAATCTTTCAAACCACCCATGGTTTCATGCTCAGTTTGTCTCAGTAAAATGCTAATCACCACTCGGTACAACTCATTCTATCTACCGCCCCTTAGAGACACAATCACATCTCACTATCATTATCATACCACCAAGTGTGTCTGACGCATGTGCCGATGGACCCCAAGCAATTCACCAACAAAAATGGTTTTAGCATAATACATACAACGACACTTCAAACAAAAGCTCAAACAAACATTGAAAATCAACAATAAAACAATCAATTGGAATACAATGACCATAATAATGAAACACACTCTTTGCAAAGAAATTTATATACGGATGCCTATTGTGAGATAAACCACTTACATCATTGATCTCTAACTTTAGATCTCATCAATATTCAACTTAGTTGGCCATTGATCCTATGGTCCATTTAGTTTGACCTTATGCATCTTCTCTTTTGTCTATACCTAGATTACAATTTGATTTTTCAGAATGCATCACAACACTCGGTCCTTTTTTTTCTACCGTCTCTCTTTGCTTTCTTTCTCCCCCTTTTCCTCCTAATCTACTGCCACACTGCTTTACAGTGTTATCATAACCAGATCAGACCGGTAGTTCAACCCAGTGAACCGGCCCTTAAATCGGTCCAATTAGGCTATTAGATCACTTGTGCAGATGACCCGTTAATGGACCGTAAAAACTATCTAATTTTAATAAAAATCAGTGAACCGGACAAGTCAAAAAAAACTAATGATTCAGATCTCAACCCATATAAAATCCCTATTTTGAGCATGTTTGCCCTAAATCAACGATCATCTTTTCAATCTTTACAGATGCACATACCAAATGATCTCTCTCCCTTCTCCTGTTGTGCTTGTAAGTCTACTCTATCTCTCTCTCTCTCTCAGATCAGATGCACTCAGTCACGTGTCACAAACGCCACCCACTCAATCTCTCTCCTTTCACACAAACACACACCCACACTCGATGTCTCACATTTACTATGCCAAACCAACAGTTGATCTCTCTCAAACCACACTGCCACACAGCCACACACCCACTACACCATAACGATCTCTCACACACTCACTTACCCCAAACCACCCTGCCACACACCCAATCAATCTCTCTCAGCCCCTAGTTCATCTTCTCTTTTCATCCCCTATTGCTTCCTCTTCCTAATCTAACATCAACAATCCTTGTTGGTCCAAAGATATGGAAGTTGTCTTTAAGAATGTAACCTTTACGAGATCTGCTATGAAGTAATATGTGGAATTTTATTGACGGATGAAATTATTATGAAAATATCAAGGACATAATGGAAAAGGGTATTCAAAGAAGAAGATTGAGGAACCTTTTTTTTTTTAATTGTTCAGTGAAGAATGTGGAACTTTCAAAAGAAATGAAAAAGAAGGGGGGGGAAAAAAAAGGTAACAGATTAAGGGAGGACCACTATTGCAAAATGTTTACGATATTTGTTGATTGGAGATGGACAATTGGGGACGTAAAGTTGAAATTTGATATTTTTCACGAACATTTCTTTTCTCCGCTTAATTTTATAAATTGTATGACAAATTGTATGCATTGGTGGACATGTTGCATATTTTTTAACTAAATTATTATGTTTTATAATTTTTTTTATGTTTTATTATACGAAAGGTTGGGCTAGTTGACCCAATGGTGAATCAGTGACCCATTGACCCGGTTTTTTTATTGGTTCAATGTCTGACCCGATTATGGTAATTATGCTTCTTTATACACACAAGTTGATAACACGTGCACTAATTTCTATAATTTGCTCCATTTTTATTTCTCCATGATTTACTCTCTCACTCTTATATAGGTTTCCAGCAATAACTGTAAGCTCCACGTAATTTTATTCGAAATCTCTCAATATGATTTGGNGGAAAAAAAAAAAAAGAGGTAACAGATTTAGGGGAGGACCACTATTGCAAAATGTTTACGATATTTGTTGATTGGAGATGGACAATTGGGGACGTAAAGTTGAAATTTGATATTTTTCACGAACATTTCTTTTCTCCGCTTAATTTTATAAATTGTATGACAAATTGTATGCATTGGTGGACATGTTGCATATTTTTTAACTAAATTATTATGTTTTATAATTTTTTTTATGTTTTATTATACGAAAGGTTGGGCTAGTTGACCCAATGGTGAATCAGTGACCCATTGACCCGGTTTTTTTACTGGTTCAATGTCTGACCCGATTATGGTAATTATGCTTCTTTATACACACAAGTTGATAACACGTGCACTAATTTCTATAATTTGCTCCATTTTTATTTCTCCATGATTTACTCTCTCACTCTTATATAGGTTTCCAGCAATAACAGTAAGCTCCACGTAATTTTATTCGAAATCTCTCAATATGATTTGGTCACGTTTTTTTATTTATTTTTTTAGTGTGGGATATTACAAAGGGTAATCCGAAAATCCTACATGATCTCATTAACCCTACACCCTAAACACTTTTGTAAACTTCAATTCGACATCACTTGATGATTGTTCTATCCAAAAGCAGCACTAATGCCCTGATGACTCCTTCAACTATTAGTTCAACCTTAGGGGAAAAAAAAAGGTTAGCCGGGAAAAAAAATGGTTTAGTATAGGCTAAGACTTATGCCGCCTCGGCACCCCATGATTTCCAGCACACTCACCGTAAATGGGGATTGTCCTGAGCAATATGTTGATGAAAGTGGCAGTGGGATGGCCTAAATATGCTAGAACCTTGTGGTGCTTGTTGATGGCTACAACAGTATCAGGTGATATAGAAAAAGATAAGAAATGAACTAAGGAGATTATAGTAGTCAACTTAATTGAGTGGGAGAGCAACAGATCCAAGTTAAACTCCTTAAACATGGGGTGCAAGTCAAATGGCTACCTACCTTAAATATGAGTACTAAAGGCAACAGTGACAGCATTTGAAGGATCTAAAGTTTGAGATAAGTAATGGGAGGGAGTAAGTTAGAATGATACTAGGACAAGAAATCTACAAATACTCTATTGCAGTTGATAAAGGAGCTTAAGGATGAAAGTTGATAGTTGTTGTAAACCCACTCGACTGCCAACTGCCAGATTCTACTATAATTTGAATTCCAAAGTTGACTGGATTCTTACCAGTCAACTGGATCCTCAATACGTCCATTTGAAAATTTTGACTGTCTGGAAAGGAACAAAGGAAGCAACAGAGGTTAAATTTGTTGACTAAATGTGTGGCTTAAGTTTCTTTGGCCAACAAAAGTGGAGAAAGCAAAAACTATTTTTTTAAGAAGAAAAGAAAACATGCAAACTTGTGCATATGGTAGCTGACGCATTTGTTGACAATTGTTAGATTTATCTGCCTATGAGTAGGTTGTAGAATTTTACCATTTGAAGCATCGGAGTTCAAAGCATACGAGAGAGCTTGAACGACGGTTGGAGTTGAGAGGGGTGTATAAGGGTTTAACTGTTTAAGAGCTTGAGTTTTAAGACTCAATAGTAAATCTATTATCTACCTCAGTACTCAAATCAGGAGCATGTCACAACAAAATTCTCATCTCTTTGCACTTGACTATGTCCAGTTGGTGTACTCTTAGGCACACTTCATCCTGCGCACATCCTTCACTGAGTCAGTGATGATTGAGTGTGATCTTCAAGGGAAGGTCAAACTACTAGGTTTAAAGTGAATATATTGAGATTAGGACTTAAGGTTCATGGTAATCCTACTGAAAACCATAAATTGTTGTTAATATTGGTGTTTTGATTAGTTAATTTGAGGATTAGTGGATTGGGAAATTCCAACCACGAAGGTTGAGAGTACATCTAGGTCCCTGTGGATGTGATCCAACACTATAAATCTCTGTGTCATATTTGTGGACGTTGGATTCATGTTTTTCTTATTTATTACATCTAAATCAGCATTCATAAATGTTTTGTTGATTGGTGAACTCATAAAGCAGATAATTGGAAACCTAGTCGCATAGCAAACAAGGATTAAATCTGCTAAAGACCCAGTCAATTGGAAGTAAAGATTGACTAGGTTACTCACCCACACCCAGTCAACTGGATACTTCCTAATCACTTTCAATATCTAACTTGACATGCATCATACTGATTAATTTTCACCAAGTATCTGACCAACTGAAATACTTAGTGAATTTAATTTGAGCAGAAACATTTGAGACAAAAAGTTAGGAGAATTCATCTTCTAGAGCATTTCACAGTGACACAGTCATCCGCAGAAAGACCCATAGTAGGGAGATTTTACATATAAAATTTCATTAAGAATGCTTTTTTGGCCGGATTAAAATTTCGTTTTGAAACGGTAGAAATGTCCAAAACGTTTCCGTTTCTAAGGAGATCGAAACGAATCAGTGATGGAATTAAAATTCTAGTACTTTGAGATGTATTTTGTAATGTTTCAATACATTTGTACAATTGTTTGTAATGTTTTAAGATATTCAAGATACTTTGATTTTTGACTAATGTTTTGGAAAAATAATTCTTAAATATTTTATTTTTTTCATTTTGTTTCCGAAACACGTCGAAATGTTTTCATTTTCTAAGTGACCGAAACAATGCACCAAAATGAAATTTTGATCCTTGCCCCTAAATCAAGGACTTTCATTTCTAGTACAAGCTCTGTTGGAAATCAACAATCAGGGATATTTCCAAGGCTCCATTGGAAACAAAAAAAAAATGGAAATTGAAGGATAATGCTCGAAAATATTATTGCAGAAAGATAAAATCTCAAGAATTTTCCTCTTTTCCCTTGTTTTTTCAAAATTCAAAGCTCAATAGTTTTCATCATAAAGATGATTAAAAGACACCCCAGTAACATAGTGGTTGATCAGAGAAATAAATAGAAGATTACCTATAAAGAACACTCCTTGTATCTGGGTACACAAGGTCACCATATTGTGCAAGAGAATTCTCTATGACAGAAGGATCATCTGTGATCAATTTACCAAGGCGTTCTTCAATCCAAGCAAGCCTCTGGTAGTAAAAGTAGAATATTTAGCTATTGATGTAGTGCACAGAAATAACTGAACAGTAGCTGATGACTAAGGCACAAGGAACAAACTGCATTCAGGGTATAGTGTGTAGCAAGGCCACAAGCAATCATCTCTACACCATTGAGCTTTTCTCCAGTTAGACCCAAGTACTCCCCTGCAAAGAAAAGCAAAAACAAAGAAGAAAATATCATGTCTAGTCAATTACCATTTAAATCTAATTGTAAGGAATTTTTTACGTGCATTAAGAAAACAAGCGAGGAAAGTAAGTGATGGTTTTAGCACTTCTTTGAAAGAAAAGAAGAAAGCATATCAAAGATAACCACTTTACATACTAAGGTGGGCAAGGTGTAATAGCACCAAAAAGAAACAAACTAGAAAAGAAAACCACAACACCAAGAACAACAGCAATTCAAGCACCAAAAAATCAAGGGAGTGAGAGATGAACACTCGGGGCTCTAGCACCATGTAAAGGCAAGAAACTTTGCAGTCTTAAGTCATGGCGAAGATATATACAAGATGCATAAAGTATCTCAGTTACAACTGGAGGGAGAAATATTTCACCTGACAAATAGTAAAGCAAAACCTTGAGGACATCTCGCATCACAGTGTAACAAAATAAAGTTGACTCAATGAGAAACAAGGCATTTTGGCTGATAAAATATGCCCATTTTAAGCCATAAACACCTTTTGCTCCGCCTAATAAAACTCCCACTTGCATCCAAAATAGTATTTGGAACCAAATTTGAAGATATTAGAACTTTAAGTTGAAATATCTAGATGCATCGTTTTAAGACGTTCATGTTGAAGATGCTGAAGGAATGAGAATCCTGATGATTGGTTCCCTTTTGGTTTTGCACAACACATACATATATGGACATTAAGATACATATTTCTAATTTGTAGGTGTGAAGAAATCTTGCATCCCACATGGAAGATTAGGAACAACCAAGTTTGGCTTAGTTGAGGGACCTTTTCACCCATTACCAATTGAATTGGATGCTCTAACAATAATAGGCCATATTGTGATGTGATATTTCAGTAATGCATGCATAGACGCATTCTAGGATTTTAGGCCTTCGATCAGTCGACCCCACCATAAACATAGATATTTGCTTGCTTATTTGACATAAGACCCACCAAAAGACAAAGTAGCAACATCAAACATTTTAGTTACAAGCCTTGAAAATTCTCTTTTTAGGAACGAATTTGGAGATTGTGTTGCTTAGGGACCGTTAATTATAGAGGTCACTTTGCGCAGGTTGGGGAATATCAAGACTTCCCATAGTTCGACAATCAGTCCAGTTTTGGCATGCAATTGAAATTAATCGGTAGCAACCTCTCGTCTTAGTCATGTGCAAAACATTGCAATCGGGGATGGAAATCAGGAAAAATATAAAATATAAAATTATTAAAAGAGAACAGCAAAGAACATAGATATCAAACCAAGTCATTTAATACTGATAGAAGTGACTAAAATGTCAATTCACACCATGGAAAAAAGTCTAAAAAGCAATGAAAACCTCAAGAGAACTTAAAACATGGAGGGGACCAAGGATCAAAATTTTGTTTGGTGCATTGTTGTAGTTATCTACGAAACGGAAACGTTTTAACGTGTTTCAATAATATTTCAACCCGTTTCAAAAACAGAATGAAAAAATATAAAAAAATTTAAGAATTAATATTTTCAAAACATTGGTCGAAATATACCAAAATATCTTGAGATACCTTGAAACAATCTGAAATAATTGTGCAAATGCTTTGAAATTTAACAAAATATTTCGAAACATTATGGAACATCTCAAAGTATTAGAATTTCGATTTCATCACTGATTCGTTTTGATCTTCTTGGAAATGGAAACGTTTCAAATATTTCGACCGTTTCAAAACAATATTTTGATCCTTGAAGGGTACACAACTAAACATGTTGGTTTTTCATTTACTACAAGAAGTACAAGGAGAAGAGGAAGAGAATATACAAATTAAAGAGATAGAGAGTGTGATGTTGAGAGAGAGAGAGCATAATGTATACTAAACCTCCAACCTACTAAAAGGGAAGAAGAAAAAAAAAGAAAGAAGAGGGAAGGAACCATAAAAGCAATTTATAAGCCTCGTTACTACAAGAGGTAAAAATTGTCAAATAATTGTAATAACAGAACGTACTTCTTTACCCAAAGTATTGAACTCAATGATTCTATTTTCGTGGTCTTTGAAGGGATTAACTAAAAAGCCCAAGGGTTGAACCAGCTTATTGGGCTTAAGAGTTCCCTATCTAATGTAGAATAAAATTCCTTTTTTTTGGACAGAATAAACAGGGTCAATGGGTGAAGGGAGAGGAGGTGTCCATCTACAAGTATAGAACTCTTACAAAATCCCAAAACCACAAAGCTGCCTTCTAAAAGTCCTAAATTGCTTTCAAAAAAATAGATAACCTATGAAACTACAACTAAAACGATCATAATTAAATAGTCTTCTTGGAAAGCTATATGACTAAAGGTTATCACATTAATCCTTTTTTTGACTCTCTATCCAATGATCTTTCTAGTCCTTCTTTTTTACCAGCTAGGTTCATTTGGAAGGCAAAGGTGCCTCTTAAAGTGCAAGTTTTTGCATGACCTATTACACATGGTAAGATTAATACCTTTGATATGCTTCAAAAAAGAAGGCCTAACATTTGTCTTTCCCCTCAATGGTGTGTGATGGACAAAGTGATTTTGAAAGTATTGATCATTTATTTTTACATTGTCTCATTTCTTTGAATTTGCAGTATAAGCTTTTTAGATTGATAGGAATGAAATGGGTGATCTTGGCTTCATCAACATCTTTGATTGTGGAAAATTTGAAAGGCTTTGGTAATTATTTTAAGATAAAGACTCTTTGGAATTGTGCTATAATAGCTACATTTTTAGTCATTTAGAAGGAAAGAAACCCAAAAATTTTTGAAGATCAAGAAGATTGCTTGGAAGGGTAATGGGTTCGCATTCACTTCTTATTGTCTTTTTAGGTTTCGGTTACAAAAGAGTTTAAAGGGATGCCACTGTTTTCTATTCAAATGGGATGAAGAGAATCATGTGATTTATAGGCGTCTAGTGGTTTTGTATTGTTCCATTCCTTTGGTGTTTTCTTTTGGTTGGATTCCTTATCCAACCTCTTTTATCAATAAAGAAGGTTTTGTTTCGTATCAAAAAATTAAAGGTTATCACATTAGGTTGTGCCATTAGTTTCCATTCTGCCAATCTCCTTCCACTGAAAAATTAGTTACTTCAAAAATAGTGCCTCTTTAACAACTCTATAGAAACCCAAGATCTCCATAGTTCTAGCATCCCCTTGATCAGTGGCTTTGAATGATAGACAATAATTTCTGTCATAAACTTGAATGTAGATAGAAACCTTATGATGACCTTAATTGGAGATTAACCTCTCCATCATCAACTAGTTTGCAATAATTTCTTAAGAGAAAACCCATCAACATTATGTTCGACAAACTTCAATAGAAGATTCTATATGAACAGAGGCTTAGCCTTACGGCTAAAATTCAAATGAGCCATACTCCAATTTTTTCATACCAATATACAAGGGTCACGCGTGGATTACATAATAAAGCTCATAAGATTTTTTTTAATATGAAACAAAACTTTTATCACGAATAGTAAAACACAATTGGGGTGGACAAGATATCCAATCATCAAAGCACAAAAAGAGAGAAAAAATACAATTCAATTAGAGCAATAAACATCCACATACTTCCCAACAAAACATCCATATATAATCACTTAAGGAAAAATCAATTTCCAATCTTGTTTGATATGAAAAAAAGAAATTCCCAGATTTCTTTAGAAGCCAATGCCGAAAGAGACGCGAAAAAATTTTCTCAGATTACAAAAATTCATCAATCTCTAGTTTTTCTTATGAAATTCTACCATTTCTTTCCAACTATATAACCCACAACATGGCCAATTTCATACAATTCCAAAGCATTTAAGCTATGAAGCACTGACACGATACGACTCATACACGTGAATACGATATTTTTCTAAAATATATGACATGGACACGATGAATAACATATATATTTATTTTTTATATGACAATCTCAACTCAACATAACAAAGCTTTGTCCCAATGATTTTGGGATTAGCTACATGAATCTTATTTCGACATTAAGCTCTATCAAGGGCAATATTTTCAGCTAAACTATAAATTATCATACCGTTCTTTACTATTTCATTGTCTAAATCAATTCTCTCTTAACTTATCTTCTATACGTACTACCTCTACTTTTTCCTAGATATATGCATTCCTAATTTTATCTTTCTTAATTTTACCACACATCCATCTTAACATTTTCATTTTTGTCACACAAAACTTTTGAATTATAAGCTCTCAAATTTGGTGTTAAACATACTTTATAAAGACCATGGGATCATTACCGGGCCCAATTTCATACATAAGTCTAACATAAGCACTACGACTTTGTACAAAAACTTAATTCATTGTGTAAAGTCTATTGAGCTAAAGAGAAGACCCCAAAAAGTGAAACTCCTCTTAAGTCTAGTCAACCCACTTCATTGTAGCATGGTTTAGATAAGTTGTATTTTGGATAAGGAGTAATCTGGATAAGCAATTAATATACTCCATGTGGCTGATAAAAAAAATCAATAGAAGATTCCATCTTCTATCCTCCCTTTCGGTAAACCAAAGGTCAAAACTCAAACAACTCTCTGACCCACCCCCTCCCCCGGGCACCTCTACAACTACCACCTTACTCCTTTAGTCTTTCTTTCCCTCTTTAAAACATTCCATCAGAGGCAGAAACAAGGATTAAAAATCGTTTCCAAATAGTCGAAACATCTGAAACGGTTGAAATATTCGAAATGTTTCCGTTCCCAAGGACACCGAAACGAATTAGTGATAGAATCAAAATTCTAATATTTCGAAATATTCCATAATATTTCAAAATGTCTTGTTATATTTTAATACATTTTTACAACTATTTCGAATTGTTTCAAGGTATTTCAATTATTTTGATATTTTTCGACAATATTTTTAAAAAATAATTTTTAAATTTTTTTTTATTCTGTTTTTGAAATGGGTCGAAATGTTTTTGAACACGTCGAAACGTTTTCGTTTCCTAGGTGACCGAAACAATGCACCAAAACGAAATTTTGATCTTCGAGCATAACAACAAATCATCTTGCCAATAAACACATAGGTCACGACCTCTGGTTATGGGTTGTGATGTGTGATTCTTGTTTTTTGGGATGTGCATTTGCTTCATCGTTTTTGCAAAAAATTTCAAGCAACAGTGAGTGTTTTAGACAGATTGAAAATATCATAAATTTATTCCAAATGTATTCGAAAGTGTCCCTATCGTGTCCAGGATGTCTTCCTACTTTATCCGGGACGTGTCCAAAATTCAAAAAAAAAAAAAAAATTCAAACACTCTATTTTGCATGTTCAGGATGTATCTTGTCTGTGCCGAGTGTCGGACATGAATACATGAGGCAAAATGACATGTCAGTGCTTTATAACGTTGAAGCCCTTGGACTCTTCCCTAACCCTCCATAGTTCTCTACAAGTGAGGATACATAGTACCATGGAATTACCCAATCCATCCCTGCTTCCCTAAAAAATTAGGCCATAAAGCTAACACAACCGAACAAACCGATGTATCCTAGATTTAATTAAAATCGGACACTAACCAAAAATTCAAGCATTATCGAAGCAAGATTACCTAAGTTCTTAGGTTATTTAGAGTTTTTTATCCTACAAAATCTAGCCCATTCCAAACTAGCCAATTGGCAAAACTTGGAAAAGGTTTGTTCCTAGCTAATCTTTGGCAAGTGCATTCCATGGGGCTTACGGATTACCCCATGTGATGAATAACTTGAAGCCTTTTTTTAACAGAATTTTACCATCATACCACTTAAGCAATTCACAAATTTTAATGTCACTGGGAAAATAGACTTTTTATGATGTTATCAAACGTTTCACAAATTTTTAACCACCCCCCACATTGGCTTAGATAGGTATGCATGTGGGGAAATATTTTCACTGTTTGCTTTGAGCCGGGTAAGGCCTGAAATACTTATCCTACTCCAAAGGGAATTGTGAGCCCCTTGAAATGATTGATCAATCCCATCCTCTTATCCTCTTTTATTCCCTCAACCAAACTTGACCTTAAAGTTTCAAAGCTGAAATGCCAGAAAAAATTAATTGCTAATCCATTAAAAGAGTTGAGAAAGAGAGGAGCCCCTATTGTTGTTTTAGTTTGCTAAGAAAAGGTCCTCCTTTGTTCATAAGACATAGGGGCAATATATAGGCAACGGCCATATGTGTGGCCTACGCTTGTGGCAGATTCCAGTAGGATGCTCAAATTGTCTAGTGGAATATTTGTAGAAAACGGTCAAAGAGACACACTTGACTGGGGATATCTTCCACCAAATCTCCTTAATAGGAACAATCCAGCTAGGGGATTATGGCCAATGGACATAGATTATAGCAAGTAGGTCCAGGCCAGGGGCTACAGTCCAAATGACCTTGTTATGCGTGCTGAATTATAGCGAGCCAGAAGAACCCATTTCTTGTGGTGCCCGTCCTCTAACACTAACACACCGTTCCCTCTTGGCCCACAAAACCACAATTGCCTTAAAGCACCTTTGGCATTACACATCAGGGAACCATGTGGCATAACTAACCGCCAGGCGCATTTGTGGCATGAATTCTATTTGGACCATCAACAATGACAACTGTCTGAAAATGGGAAGAAGTGTTGGGGTTTGTAAACAATTATCCTTAAACCTTACTTGAAACCATACATCATATCCTTAAACCTTACTTGGTAGATCAAACAACCAAGCATGAAGCACCATATCCATGAACAATTACTTGAAACCAGCAGTGTCTCTAGAAAGTAAAATAATGGACAAGAAATACAATCAGGAAAGAGGAAAACAAAATAGGGAGATACCATACCAAATAATACTAAACTCACATCAGAATGAAGGTGCCTCTGTTGCAAACCAACTGATTGAAATGCAAATCAAATAAGACCTACTACTATTAGATAACTCTAACCACCACACAAATATGGTTAAGACCCTTCTCAAAATCTTACAATATAAAAACTTTATAAACTCTGACACTAACTCGACCAATCCTAACTCATCAGAAAAAAAATAAATTAAATACTAAAACTAAACAACAAACAATCATAATCCTTAAAATTCTTAGCATTTTGATGTTAGAATTTTTAAAATTCATTTTTTCTTGCAAGATACGCACGCCTATTAGAAAAGAGGCCTCAAAATGCTTACACCCATCACATTAACACCAAAAGATAAATCACCTTATTAGTTTCTAATGACCCATGTAATAGCTTATTGCTCAATCTTGATATCATATGTTAGCAGTAAGTGACCTGAATCTTCATCTGTACTTCTAAAGAGATCATAAACATCTAAGTGGCACGGGTCATCATTCTCTTTTCTCTATACTTCCTCATGAATATAGAAAAGAAATCGATCAGCTTTGAGTATCAAAAAGCTTAGCTATAAATGAAAACTGCTATAGACTGCAAACCATTCAACCTTACCTAAATAACCAGGAAGACGAGAAAGATAATAAGAAGCCCCTGCATCAGGATGGAAACCCATCTGAGCCTCTGGAGTAGCAAAAACCTGCACGAATTTGCAGAAGTTTCGTAACACAAAAAGTGCAGAATGTGATAACAGAAAGAACATATTTAAATCTAATCATGGCACCAAAAGACAGGAACAAAAAAATACAGCAACGGAGGGTGTCATAGTCTGGTGGGGGATAAAAGCTTCAAAAGTCATGTAAACTTTTTTAGAGCCATCACATCCACAGTACAATGAAGAACAGAAATTACACACAGAGACAAAGACAGACAGACAGGGGAGAGAGAGAGAGAGAGAGAAAGAGAGATGTGCATAGAGATTGTTCAGTGCCTCGAGTTTTTACAGTACAACGATAAGTTCTCATCAGCCATTTAATCAGAATGTATAATTAATTAATAATTAACTGGGTCTAAGTTTTAAGAAAGTCAGATACAACTAATGACATGAAAACATGTATGTCTGTTAAAGTAATTAGGTAAATGGAATAAATAAAAAAACTTGTGATGTGTTAACCTACAGAGCTTCCAAAAATCAGGCAGCCGTGTATGATTTTGAGAAACCTAAGCAGTATAAAGAAAAGAAATTGAGAGAAGCCATGTATTTTTAATTTTTGCTTTAGTATCCCCTTTCACTATGTTCCCTAATTGTATGCTTTTTGCATGACATTGGATGACAAAAGGAAAAGCTTACAGGTTGAGACGCGCTACTATGACATGATACTACTCTCTGTACCTCCATAGTCCCTCAATTTCTCACCAAGGATTAAAAAATATTTGGAACAGTCAAATATTTGTAGTTCTACATCAGTCTTTTAACACCTTAAACTAAGTGCCCCCAATCATCTTCTGCTTATGCACCAAATTGTTTGGCAATTGCAAGAATAATAGCACTTGCAAATTAAATATTTTGATTGGATTCGGACAGGATGTAATTTATAACAAGTCAATAGCTACAAAATAAAAACATCAAAATCAAAAGGCATGATACGTGTTATAATGCACAAGATATGCATTTCAAATTATCTGTAAATATAACCTACAGAAGTTGCATTGAATGCAAGTCGACTCAAGAAAGATCAAAGCCACATATGGTAAATTAAAAAATGCATACAGTTTTATCAGTTACAATACGGAACATCCCAGGAAGCGATATACCAGCTCCACCTCCCATTGTGATACCATCCAAGACAGCTACCTGCACAAGTGACGTTTTTTTTATGATCAATTATCCCACTTAAGTTACAATGCACTAACGTAAAAGCAATTGAAGTATGGAAGCCTAATGTCTATCTTAGAAAAATAGAACTAAAACATAATCATTCACCAATATGGTACACTTAAATAAGTTATAGTAGTCCCACAATCAGAATTTATAAAAAGCATATGACCTGGGTCACAAAAGCACAGCATAAAAGATTCCTCAATAAACAAACTTTACTGGGAAAAACTTGTCTAAGCCCAGTATTGGTGGCACTCGTATAAGTGTGATTTTCAATTCAATTGCCTCAGCGAACAAAATACCAACACCCTATTTGAGTTTCTATTTCCAGGATCTGAGTAATCTAGTTGCGGTCCTATATCCTCCCTTGGAACTTAAAAGATTTACCTACTGCATTGTGTTCTAGCTAATGCCTAAGCTCACTTATAGTAAATCCTATTTCAGCTAATGTTCATCAACTGATACTAACCAAAATTGAACATAATTTTGACATAGACTTTTCATTGATAAAAAGAAATGGACCATTTCTTCTTTGGGCGAGTTTACCTGCTAATCGTTCTTTGGGTTTTTGATTGATGATACAACTGTTACAATATCTGTGGCCAATGATGATTTGAAACTCCAAGGTACCAATAAAGGTTCAAGTATTTGTTTGGCTTGTTGCACATATGAAACTAAACACCAAAGGTATGATCCAAAAATGGTGGTCATTTTCTTCTCTCCATCTTCAATAGGGTATACTTTGTATAAATGGCAAAGAGTATAAGGATCATTTGTTCATATGTTTGCCCATTTCCTTCATAATTGTGGAATAAATTTTTGTTGATAGAGGGAGTCCCATGGATATTCCACGGTGCCGTCAATCGGTGCTTTAATTTTTTTATTTTTTTTTGGCCAAGATTGGTGCTTTAATTGATTTGTGGGTTTTGGTAAAATTAGGAAACTAAAGATACTGTGGAGCTGTACGGTTTTGTTAACTTTGTGGGTTATTTGGTTGGAAAAAAATAAGGGAATCTTTGATGGTACATTCATTGGAATAGTTATAAGACACAAAATTATTTTTGGCTTCTTTTGAGCTTCAATATCTAAAGACTTTGGTAGGATTCCTTCACTTTTGATAAAATATAGTGGGCACAAGTATGCATAAGTGATATGTAATATTAAAATATTTTTACTTCTCCTTTGGCCTTTGGTTTTTTTTTTAAAATAGCACTTGTGGAGGACTCCTCTCCCTTTTTTGTACTTCACTCTTCTTGTTTATAATATCATTTGGTTATCTATCAAAAAATAAGTTTTGACATAAACTAATTTACATATAGTAGAAAGAATACCACTTACCAAGAGTGAGAAAAGGGAAGAAAACGAGGCATAAAAATAGCTCGAGGATGAAAAATCCTTCAATTTGAATACCTAACATCAACCAAAATCCTCACAACCATAACCCCTTCAAGCCTGACCAAAATTTCACTCATAGGGAAAAATGTTCCTTGTCAAAGGTAGTAACTTTGTAGATCCTCATCTGGCTAATGGTTTAGGCCATAGATCCGGTTCATCTCAATTCTCAATTGCTAATTAGGTCACAAAATCTATGGTCTCTTGCAAAAGGTACTCGTGTCACCAAGAATCAGGCATTCAACTATCCAACAGGACCACCACAACTTTCGAATCACCCTTGATCCTCATATACAGATTCCCACAAATGTTAAAACAAAATTAAAAAAAGAAAACTATCCAATGACCTTTAAGCAGTGGTAGTGTTTCTGTTTTAATGGCAAACCCAATTCCCACTGGCTGTTTCAAGGAGAGTATATTATTCTCGGAATATTCTATCTACATGCCTTCAGGACCTTGTTGACTATGCAAACCTGACGCAGCAGTAATGAGATCACAAAAAATTACCGTTTCACGAACACACAAACAAACCTGAATTCACAAGAAAATATAGATAGATACTCTAAAAGGATGTCCTATCGACTGAACAACTCGTAGTACATAGGAAGAATGTATACAGGAATGTCAACAAGTCCAACGTTCCAAACGGAAGCAAATCCGTAATTTTACGAAAGTTACTAACTAAAAATAGAAAATTGCAATTTAACTTATTAACATAAAAGCATGTGTTGTCTAGAGTCCAAGAAAATTGACAGCACTGAAATTAGAGTTTCCCCCAATTTGCTATTAATTTTCTAAAATCTTTCCTAAAACAGAAAAAATGCTAATTTAAAGGCCTAAACCATGAAATTTAGCCAAGAAACATAGGATCTCATTGTGCAGCGATAAGTCTTGATTGTTGGCCAACACTGGATCAAATGGCCTATGCTGTTATTTTACCACTTTTTGTTGCGCTTGAATCCACAACAGTGTTCCTTGTCCAAGTAATCTTTTATAACCTGCTCTACGTCCATACCTATAATATCAATTTCATTTTACTCACTCTAAAAGGTCTAAGCTCCCAAATAAGTGTCTCCCTTCTTATTAAGGAAGCTTAAATGAGTTACATCCAGTCCCTCATGATGAAACTCAAGGGTATCCCTTAACTAGGAAGGGCAACAAGAAAATCCTACTCCAAGATCCACATCCCCTCTTTCCTTACCACATTAGACGAAAAAGCCTAAGGGATGGCACAATGGATGAATGTATGGCGTGAGGTCTCCTCATTGCTACAGCATAAAACATTCTAATTTAAGAGCTTTTTAAAGCCTTCTAGTCTGGAGAATCCCATTGGTATGGGCCTTCATGAAGGCCATTGACCTAGCTAAAATCTTAACTTTTGGGGCAACTGCAAGCCACCAAATCAATCAAGCAGATCGAAAACTGAAAAAAAAATCCTGCTTTGGAGGAATGCACCATTTTTTTACTACCCAAACACCTCTCAAGCTGACACAGAAAGGTACACATCACTGGGAAGAAAGGATGGAAGCACGCTACTCCATATCATGCTCATAAAGTCTCCCAAACAATTTTAAAAATCCAATAGATTAAGGATTACAATGAACCACGTATCAGCCATAGGACCCCATGAAGCCTTTATGTGAAAATCCATCTTAAATCTTCACAAGAGCCAATTCTAAAACCCACCCCCCAATGTATATAGTATGAGGGTAAAATTTTGTTGTATCCATGAGATATGACATTCCAAGAACACAGAGTCCCTTCATTGGGAATGTCGGATTTCCTCCTGCTCCCCAGAAGAACGCATTTGATTTTGATAACCACTTCAAAGAGTTTTGCTCCTCCAAGAAACCTCAACCATTTCCCAGCTGCCCTTACACTTGTAGATCCCACGTCCAATAGCAATTAACAGAAAGATGTCTACTGTTGTCCCCTCCATCCAGACCAAATCAACTGCTTTAAATTCCCCAAATGGTATAAGCAACAAAAACAGAAATTGAACAAGGAAATCTATTCCACAAGACGTAAGCTAAGTGTGACTATATATAAGTAATCTAATTTCGCAGAGAAAATGAGCCTGTTTTCCACCCATGAAGACGATTTGACACCATTTCTATTGCAGTATCTCAGAAACTCAGAACTCTATGTTCACTGCCTTTGGGGAAGAACCAAGCACTTAAGCATCCAACCAGTAACCCAGCCAAGGAAAGATGCTAGACACTAAAATCTCTCTCTTGAAATGCTAAAATTCAAATTACAATGCTTTTCTCCAGTTTATTCTCAAGACCTCTAAGATCTCAAAAAAGGAATTAAGGATGTCACCCAACCAAAGCGCCTTTGCTACCACAGTGCAAGAGAAGAAAAAGATCATAATGAAGGTAAAAGAAATCTAACAGGTAACCAAGGAACGAAATGTCGTGTCGAAACGTCCGAAACATCCGAAACGTTTCGGTATTTCAACACACCGACACGAAACAGGGGATGAATACTAAAATTCCAATGTTTCGTTCGAATCGGCAGTGTGTCGGACTGTTTCGGTCGAAACGGTACAGATTCAATGTGGTTCACTCCAGGTAAAAAAAAAAAAAAAAAACAAAAAAACAGAGATGCTATAAAAGAGATTCCTTTCACATGTCGGTCAGAATTCACAGAGAAAAAACACAGAAATCGCATGAGGCACAGAAAGCAGATTCCTTCCACACAAGTCAGTCAAATTTCACAGAGAAAAAATCGGGAATAAAACACAGAAATCACATAGTCCAAGTCTTCCAAGCAAAAAAAAAAAATAGACAGAAGAGAGAGAAGAGAGACTGTCTAGGTGTCCAGGTTCAGGCAAAAAAAAAGACAAACAAAAGAGAGAGGGAAAGGCACCACAGGAACTCGAAGAGACAGAGAAATTGAAGGAGAAGACTAGAAAAACTAACCTTGAGTCCAGATTTGAGCAGATTCAGCCATTTTCGGGTTTTCCACGCAAAGCCTTCTTCATCACTGCGACCACGAGCCCGAGGTATCTTCGTCTTCTTCTTCTTCTTCTTCTTCCTCTCTCTGTTTCTCTCTCTCTCCCACTCCGGCTTCAGCATCGACATCGCGATCGCAATCGCGATCGCCTCTCTGTCTTTTGTCCGAAATCGTCTGTGGTGTGAGTTGTCTGAGTCGTTTATGTTGTCTGCCTTATATATATATATATATATATTTTCTTTTTTTGTTACATGTATGATTAATTATATTTAATACCCCTTATAATTATATTTAATACATATTGTAATTACATTCAATACCCAACAGTAATTACATATAATAGTTAATACCCATTGAAATTAAATTTGATATATACTGTAATTATATTTACCACCCCACTGTAATTATATTTAATAGTTAATACCCATTGTAATTACAATTGATACTCACTGTAATTACACTTGATACCCACTACAATTATACTTGATACCTCACTACAATTACATTTAATAGTTAATACCCATTGTAATTACATTTAATATCCCACTGCAATTACATTTACCACCCAACTGTAATTATATTTAATACCCCACTGCATACAT